CACATTCACCACCCCTACCGCTTCGACGACCATTCCGATCACCGCTCTACTCCGGCGAACTTTTCGACGACCGTTCCGGCGACTACTCCGATTCCAACGACCGTTTCGGTGTTGATTTTTCTGGCGACTGCTCCGCTGTATTTTTTTGTACGGTTAACATGTTTTTTTTTACGGTTACAACCCAGGTCACAAGTCACAGCCCGTGTCACAAGTCATAGCTAAGGTCACAAGTCAAGAGTCACAGTCCATATCACAAGTCCTAGCTCAGATCACAAGTCATAAGTCAAGAGTCACAACCTAGGTCACAAGTCACAAATCAAGTCACAGGCCAGGTCACAAGTCACAACACATCATGATTGTTTGTTTAATCACATATTTTCAAATTTATTAGTCACGTGTTAATTTTTAATCACAAATTGTCGAATTTTTAAGGTCATGGTTAATCTAAATANAATCACAAATTGTCCAATTTTTAAGATCATAGTTAATCTAAATGGTTGGTCACATACACCACAACGATCGCCACGGCACAACACCGTCGACCACCACCTGTATCACCAGTCTGGATGTTAGAATATGCCCTCAGCAGCTTAAGACTCAGTCTCTGTATTCACCTCTCCCGCATTGGCCAGTCGAGGAAGGAAGGCAACAATCCCTTTCAGAACAGCATGGTCACATTGCACGACTGCCAAATGTGCAGGACTGTGGGCATATTTTGACACATCTTCCATGGCCTTTCTTCTTTCCTCCACCCTCTAAACCTTTTTTCCTTTAATCAATTCAAATAAATTTCAACAAAATCACCGCCACCGCCAGCAACCGCCATCGCCGGCAACTGCCACCACAAAACTCACCTCCACCGCCGTATCCACTATCGCCATTAGACCTACCACCATCACCAACAACCACACAAATCATTCACGGCCAGATCATAGCTACTGCAGATCGCCCCCAGATTCGTCAACATCGCCAGGTCCACCGCAAAACCACTTCACCACCGTCGGTGCTGCTGTAAACCACGATACCCAACCACGACGATTTTGAACACAGACAACTAGATCGTCTACACCAACATCTCACCATCACTACTGCAAACCACTGAGCACAATCACAACCACCCCGGTCTCAACAAAAGCCCCAAAGAGAGCATGAATTCCTATAGAATCAGTCACAAATCGAACCCGCACAAGAAGACCCACAATGAAAC